TTCAAGTTGCTCACTGCCACAGCTGGAGGAGGTTTCGTCCTGAAGGAAAAACCATCATCTGGTAGCAAACTCCTGTGCCGGCAGCTGCATGTGAGCGCTGGGACAGCGGTGCCTAGGGCGAGCTCCTCTCTGAGGGAAAACCCCTCCTGGTTTCAAATAAAGGTACCAACATCAACCAACCAAAGGGTGGTCCAAACCCGAGAAGGCTTCACAGTCTGGAAGGAGGCCCATGAAGTGATGAGCTCAGAAAAGATTCTGTAGGTACCATGCCCTAGCTCCAGGAGACAACGGTTCACAAAGGTGAGGCCACATCAGGTCCTGATACTGACACAAAATAATCTAAAAATAAACGGCCAAAGGAAGAGGCAGAAGGTGTTTGAGATCCAAAAGAAAAGTAGCTATTCAGGAAAAACTGATTCAGGCAGAAACCCAAACAGTGTTCCTATCAGGAGGTGCAGCCAAGGAGCATTTATGAGAAAGGGAAGGGGAATAATTACATGAATAGAAGGAATTTCTGTGGGTGTTAATAAGCTAAGGAGGGAATTTCTATAGATTCAGTTAATCTGACACAGTGATACTAATTCTAAAGGATGACTTTAATTTTCAGTCTGGTGGTCATAATGCCTGCTCTTCTATTAGCTTTGCAAACAGTTGTTGGCAATACAATTTTGCTTTAGGCCCAGTCCAAATGTTATTTTGCCCAGTTTTAACCTCCCAAAGGTTTGAGGAATAAAATATGTAAGGCAATTCCTTTGGGATGGCAACTCCAACTCCGTTTTGAAATGGCTCTGCTTGTATTCTTTTTTACAAGACAGAATCAAGTGTAATACCTGATGACACTTCAAACCCAACTTTTAAACTGCAGCCATTCACCATGGAAAGAAAACATCTTTTCTTTATGCAATTGTTAAAGTTGAATGTGGCAGTTAGAAAGAATTCCCAAAAAAGCTGACTAAAAAACAGTATGAGCCCCAATGGGGGGTGTGCAGGAGGCAGCCAATCAATGACTCTCTCATCACTGATGTTTCTCTCTCTCCCTCTCCCTTCTCTCTGAAATCAATAAAAACATTTTAAAAAAAAAGAACAGTATGGTATTTGAAGTGTTAAGGATGATAGTTTAGAGGGGGGAGGAATCCCTGGTACCCCCTTCCTGTGGTGCCCTAAAAAATGTGCTTATTTTGTTTAATGGTTAATCCAGGTCTGCATCAGCCAAATCTGTACCCTCTGTGACCCTTCCACGCCTTCTTCCCCTCAGGTTGAAGCCACAATCCAGACGAGCCAAAGTGTCACTTTACCCTTAGGTAATTTTATTTACACTGCCTGTGTGTGTGATATAAGAAGATTCTATTGGGAAATACAAACTTCAGGTGAGCGAGTCCACTTCTTCCCTGAGCACTAATGTCGGGTAAGGGGGGATGTTGAGAGAGGTCAAAATTAAAGGGGGCAGCAAGAAGTGGCAGAAAGCAAAAGGAGTAAGGCATTGGAGTAAGAATAAAATACAACCCAGAGAAAGTATGAAGTGTGGACAAAGTTCAGTGTGAAGGGAGGGAGTTTGGTTAGGACCATCTGTGCCTTATGGATGAGACTGAGAAATGGGAGCTGAGTCACAGACAGTAAAGAGGGAAAGGAGATGGTCTGTGGGTGGAGCCTGAAAAGCCCAGAGTGAAGGGGTGTGGAGTCCTGTTGCCAGACATAGCTCTCCTTTCTCTTTCCAGAAAATGCGACCATTACAGGGATGGCTCAGGTTGTGTCAGAACAAAGCAGATGCCCTCCTGATGTGGAATTGTACCCCAAAACTGGTTACAAAGTCTCTGTTGTGGACCATATCACCCAATGATGCTGATCTGGAAAGTAGGCCACCCTAAGTTTGTGGGCATCTATGGACTGTAAATAAACTTCCCACTGGCTTCTCAGTGTCTTGTGTGTCCTTTCCCCACAACTTAGGACGGTATCTGCCCAGAGTTCTAAAGCACTAGTCTTTCAAGAAACTTTCTGAGACAAAATATAATGACCATTCACTCACTAGAAAATGGAGAAAGGACAGGAATAATTCTCACCATTTAACCTACAAAAAGAAATGCCCAGAGAGAGGGCATTTTTTGTGCGAGCACTAAAATTAAGGGTAGAGCTGGGCAAAGATTCCAAGTTGCCCTCCTATTTTAGTCCAACTACATCCAGCACCCCTCCTAGCTATGTGAAATGTCAACTAATCTGAAGTCCCCAAATGGTTATGCCTTCCTCCTCTTCATCTGATGGCAAGGAAAAGACTCACAGGAGCTCAGGTTTGCTGAACTCCTAACCACAATGTCCCTGGAGGTGATGGTAAGAGAGACCATGTTGATCTCTGGCTTTCTGGGCCAACATAGTCAAGCTGTCAAAGACAAAGCACTACTGAACAGCCATTGTTTCCAAATATATGCCACATTCTGAAGAACATGGCCATCAGCCTAGTTGGTGTTATCCCGAAGCTATCTCCTTAGCATGCTGAAAGACACTTCATCAACGAGCAGCTATGTGTAATTTCCTAATGATGTAGTTAATGGGAAACTAGTAGAATTCCCTGATCATGTGCCAACACTCTCATTAAAAAAACAAATGGAATTCCTTTGACCTAGGAGATATTAGATCGGATCCCATGTCTAGAAATCAAACACTCTTGAGCCCTCAGATAGTGGCACTGGCCAAGACATCCATACATTGAATAGATATCAATCCCTCTTAAGACAACTACTGCCCCTCAAGAGTCCAAAGCATCCAGGGTACTCAGAAATCATTATTCTACCAAATGGTCTCTCTGAGAGAGGGTACTCTACTGAGGTCTCAGCATTAGTCTGTGTTGTTGAACGGTCAAGAGCTACATTTGAATCACTTATGGGGAGAACCACGTACATAGCATCAATCACTCCTTCGTCAGCCATCACACAAGCATGGGAGTAGCTGAGGACAGAAGCTGGCTGACATCCATTGAACCAATCATCCTGTCCTAATTGTTCAGTGTCTCCTCTGTGTCAGATAGTTTATTATGAGCACTAACACAATTCGCAAAGAACCACACACTTTGTCTTCACATCTGACGATTCATCCAGATGGCTCTTCTCCAGCTCTCCTTCTGCTGAGAATTCTAATGTTCCTACCAGGCCCCTGACAGACCAGCCAAGAGACTTGCTATTGCTCAACTGTCCATGTATATTAATGATTTAAGTCACTTTTCCCTCCATGCAAAGTTGATAACCAGGTATACTGCTTACAGCTCTGCCCACTGAGAGGTCTTTCCCCCAGATGAGTGTTTCTAGAACACTCCTGAGTGAAGTTTTAGTGTGGAAATACAGCCCATCTTTAGTTCAAAACAATAAATTGAACCAACTTATCTGTAAACCACACCTGGGTTTTTTTCCTCCAAAACCTAGCCAAGGTGAATTCATCCACTCATGAGGCTGTAGATCCGATCTGAAGGAAGGGGTGTTAGTGCAGCAAAAGTAGTTGACATGGGGTATAAACCACCTTTTTCTGTAATTTAAGCCGTCTGGGTACTGGTTGCCAGAAGAGCTGACCATGTGATTAGAGGGTTAGAACTTTCAGTCCCCCCTACTCCCTGCCCCCCACCCACCTCTGAGGAGGGCTGAGGGGCTAGAGATTGAATACAATCACCAATGATTTAATCAAATTGCCTATGTAAAGAAGCCTCCATAAAAACACAAAAGGTCTTTTCAAAGAGCTTCTGGGATGTTGAACATAGGTAGAGGTGCTGGGAGAGTGGTGTTCCCTGGAGAGGACATGGAAGCTCCATGCCCCTTCCCACATACCTTACCCTACCCCTCTCTTTCATCTGGGTGTTCATCTGAATCCTTTTATAATAAACCTGTAAATGTAAGTAAACTGTTTTCTTGAGTTCTATGAGCCTCTAGCAAACTAATCAAACCTGAGGAGGAGAGAGTCATGGGAACCCGATTTACAGTTGATGGGTCAGAAATACAGGAGCCAACCTGGACTTGCATTTGACATCTCACATGGGGTGGGAGGCGGCCTTGTGGGACGGGGCCCTTAACCTGTGGTATCTGATGCTATCTCCAGGTAGATAGTGTCAGAATTGAATTAAATTGTAAGACACCCAGAATTGCTTGATGTGGAGGGGGAGAGAAACCCATACATTTGGTGACCAGAAATGTCAGAAGTGTCCTGTGTGAGCTGTAAAGGAAGCCTCACAGGTGAAAAACTAATTTTTCCCCCCTACTCAAGTATTCTCCCCTTAAATAGTGAGGACATCATAAAAGACCATCAGGAACAAAGGCTACAGTCAAGTCAGCCTGCATTTAGTCTTTGGAAATGCACAAAAGGACCCACAGGTCTAGGTAGTGTAACATAGTGGGTAAGAAGGTGGACCCTGGGACCAGCTGGCTCAGTTTGAATCCCAGTTCTATCACTCTCTAGGTCTGTGACTTTGGACAAATTACTTAGTCTCAGTTTCCTCACCTGCAAAATAGAGATAATAAAAGTACATTCTTCACAGGACTGTTGTGAGGCTTAAATGTGGTAATATATATAAGGTGTTCAAACATTGCCTAGCACATCATAAGAACTATATATGTCCCTAAAATTATTTTTATTTTCAATCAGTTCTCTAAAGTCACAAGTGGAACTAAGTTGCATGGTGACTTGGTACAAAGATGTTTGAATTAACTGGAGCTAGTAGAGAACAGGACTCTCAATACCATGTCAGTGGTTTATAAAAGAGTGACTCCTCAAGTCCTTCCCTGGGCCCCATGGTTAAACTAATACCAACATGTCCAAGAGGATATGGAAGACTATCAGTCACCAAATCCCTCCATCATTTGCATCTCCAGGTTTGGAGCTAAGAATTGAGGCAAACAAATGAGTGAATTTGGAAATGCTCCATCAACTGCTTCCTCTTGTGACATGAATAGTAGGAGTCACCAAGGATCTGCCATCAAATTCTAGGGAGACATTTCCCCTTAGACACCAAAGAGGAGTAACGACTCAGGATGCCCGAAACCTGCACTCCCCAAGAAGATGAGTCGTCACCATTTCAAATCATCTTAATTTTCACAGTTATAGGCACTGAATGCATCATTGGTATTGTTGCCAATGGGTTCATTGTGGTTATAAGCGTAGCTGAATGGATTCAGAACAAGGCAGTCTCCATGAGTAGCAGGATCCTGTTTTTCCTGAGCTTATCCAGAATAGCTCTCCAGAGCTTGATGATGCTAGAAATCACCTTCCACTCAACATCGCCACGTTTTTATTATGAAGATGGTATATATGATACATTCAAAGTAAGTTTCATGTTCTTACATTATTGTAGTCTCTGGTTTTCTTCCTGGCTCAGTTTCTTCTACTTTGTGAAGATTGCCGATTTCTCCTACCACCTTTTTCTCAAGCTGAAGTGGAGAATTACTGGACTGATGCCCTGGCTTCTGTGGCTCTCAGTGTTTTTCGCCTTGGGCTACGGCACGCTCTTTTCCTACGGCATCTACACCGTTTACTGTAACAATTCTTTCCCTATCCCCTCCTCCAACTCCACTAAGAAAGTATCCTTCACTGAGACCAACGTGGTCAACCTGGCTCTTCTCTACAGCCTGGGGTTCTTCATTCCTCTCATCGTGTTTGTGCTGGCGGCCTCCCTGCTGATCATCTCCCTCAAGAGGCACACCCTGCACATGGGAAGCAATGCCACCGGCTCCAGCGACCCCAGCATGGAGGCGCACCTGGGGGCCATCAGAGCCATCAGCTACTTTTTCATTCTCTACATGTTCAACGCCGTTGCTCTATTTCTCTATATGTCCAACTTCTTCAATGCCAACAGTTCCTGGGATGTTTTGTGCAAAATCATCATGGCTGCCTACCCTGCTGGTCACTCTGTTCTACTGATTCAGGACAACTCTGGGCTGAGAAGAGCCTGGAAGAAGCTTCGGTCTCAAGTTCATCTTTGCCTAAAAAAGTAAACTCTATGACCGACACCGAAAGAGTACCCCGGCACCTGGTCTAGCCGGCTCTACCTTTCCCTCACCCAGACCTCTCTCTTCCCCCCTCTTTTCTTCCCCAAACCTGATCGGATCCTTTCACCTGGTGTGGCTTTCTGTAGAGGAGCTTGCTTTTCATTTCTCTCTTTTTCTTCATGGGCACAATCTTAGTAATGCTGAACTAGTATCATTCACCTGAGCCTTCTATTTCTGCCTCCCTTGCTCTATATAAAGCGGTGATTCTAGACACTGGCTCCAAATTAGAATCTCTAGGGGAGATTTTTGGAAATTCCAATGTCGAGGCCTGACACTAGGTCAATTAAGTCAAAACTTCTGGTGTTGGAACTTAGTTTTTTAAGTTCTCAAGATAATTCTGATGTGCAGCCAGAGTTGACATAGCCACCAAAATAGAGGCAGGCTCTGCAACCAGAACTCCTGGCAACCCCTCTCCTTCCACATCTATGTGCCTTTTAGACAATCAGGTGACCCAGGAAGCTTTCCCAGCAACAGCGGAAATGCATTTTGTCTCCATTCTCCAAAGACACAACCTGAATGCTGCAGAAATATCTACCAAAATTAACGGTACATAAAACACCCTTTAACCTAAAAATTACTACAAATTTTTCCCACAGATAAGGTATGGTCATATATATGCACATATGTGAGAGTTTGTGCAAGAAAATCCCCATCGTAGCATTATTCATTAATGAGGACACTCATACATCCAAAACGGAATATTGTGTAAACATTTTCAAAGTGAGACAGATGCATGTATCCTGAAATGAAAACACTTTCAATATACTGTTCAGTACGAAAAGCAAGGAGATACTTTATGATTCCATTTATGCCCTTTTATGAAATGTACAAATGCTTCTCGTGTATATATGTGTGTATATAAAGTTTCTGGAAGGATGTACCAGAAATGATTAACAGGGGACTTCTGGATATGGCTGGGTATCTGGGGGTAATTGAAACATTTACACCACAATTTCTAACTTTCTACGTTGTTTGAACTGCTCAGAACATGTATGCATTAATTTCAATTTCAATTTTTTTTTATTTAAATATAGTTGGCATACAATCTTATATTGGTTATATTAGTTTTGGGTTCACAATATAATGATTCAACATTGTTGTGCATAACGCTGTGATTTATATTAGTGTTTGTTTTGTGTGTGTGTGTGTGTTTTTAAATATATCTTTGTTGGTTTCAGAGAGAAGAAAGGAGAGGGGGAGAGAGAGATAGAAACATCAATGTTGAGAGAGTCATTGACCAGACACCCCCGACCGGGAATCGAACCCCGATCGCCTGGATCCTAGGTCGATGCTCAACTGCTGAGCCACGCCCGGCCGGGCTATATTGGTGTTTTTTATAAGAAAGAAAACTAGGTAAGTAGGAAAGGTTTGAAGGAGAGGACTGTAGCTAATTGGTTGACTGACCCTCTCACTATGCTTGTGATTATAAAAAATGCAAACACCCAACTCATGGATCAAACCTCTCCCAATCTCCTATTTTCCACTTTATTCATTCGCTCAAGGGCAATCGCTCAAGGTCATGGGCTTTCAACCATTGACATTCCTATATTCTCTCTCACTCTCTTTACTTCCCTTTCATATTCAGCTTGGATTACTGGTTAAGCATTGTGCCCACACTCTTAAAAATACTTTGGGTCCTTACGGGTGGACTGAGATTACATCTGAGCTTTGCTTTAAGATAATTTGGCCCAGGGCAAAGGAGTGAAGAGGAGAGAGGTTTAGATTAGTCTGTCAAAGAAGGCCTCAGGTGCATGAGGGTTCTTTATACTAGTCTCCCTATTTCAGGGTATGTTTGAACTTTCCCTAATATACTTGTACATAAATGAACTACAAAACACTCCAGCTTCCTGGCCCTCTCCCTCTTCGTGCCCAGCATCTGGAAAATCCCACATCTAGATGAACTTGACTATTTGTAGCACTCCACCTTTACCTCTAAGCAGCCTAGTGTAACTTGAGAGTATTTCAAAACTGGATGAACTTATGTTCCTAGAACCACGCTCTTCAGCCTCAAATGACTAACATCATTGGGCATTTCTACCCCATATGTCCCTGGAGAAGTCACTCATTAACTACACAACATGACTATGTCCTATCTTTTCCTCCATCCTGAAACCTCCAAGCCCTCTTCTCCCTGCTTTATTTTCCAGATGAAGTTGCCCTTACATTCTTTGATTAAGGTCATTCGAAGGACATTCCTTCATCTTCCCGTTAGCAAATCTGTAAGACCACCAACTCTCTCTTCCTTTCCTAAGATTTCGATAGAAAGAAGGCCCCTCTGTTAAGAAAATGATTGGAAATGCTGTAACAATTTTCTCCCTGCTCCATTATTTCTCCTTCCTAAAAGTTCCATTTTTGTGTATTTTCTTTTCTTTCTTCCGTCGTTGAGGCTTTCCCCAAATATCTGTGATCTTTGAATGTGAGCACTAAGAAGCTGATTGCAGAGTTTTGAAATTAATTTTTAAAATCTTTTAGAATACAAAAACTATATTGAAGCCTGTAGGCGAGAGGCATCTCAAAAGTAGCACACTCAAAACAGGATTCTAAGTTTTCCTCCCCAAACACATTTCTCCTTCAGTTTTCTCCAGCTGACTAATATTAAATATCACTAAAATATTTCCCACTGATGAAGCTAGAATTCTGGGAACCATCTATGGGTCTGTTTTTCTATACGCACCACCTTGCCCACCCCATTCAATTCATCGGTTAGTCATTTATTTCTATTATATGATGTATATGATTAGAAGAGTGTTTGTTTATTAATTTAACTATTATTGACTGAACACCAACTATATGGAAGTCACTAGTCTAGGTGCTAGGGATACAGTATTGAGCAAAATAAACTGGGCTGCTGTCATCACAGACCTCCTATTTCTGTGGGAAAGCACAGAAAATAACACAGGATAAGCAACATGGGGGGTGGGGGTGGGGGTGTCAGATCAACCTAGCCAGGAAGAAGCTGTATAAGTGAGATTTTTTTTTAATTATAATTTAAAAAATTATAAACCCAAACCAAGAATTTATAAGAATAATTACAAAATAAATCTAAGGAAATCAGAAGAAAAACACAATTCATTAAATATTGATTTCATAAATTAAAGATCAGAAATGGGAGAATTAAAATGAATATAAGACAGCTCATTGAAAAAAATAAAATTAGTACTGGTTGCTTATATAATCAACCCAAAAGGCATAAAAACACACAAAATAAGAAATAAAGAAAAAATTAGCACAAATTGGAGAAATTACAGTACTCTTAAGAAGTCATTTTGTTCAAATCTATGTAAGAGTTTGAAAACCTACATAAGATAGATGTTCCTAGAAAAATGTAATTTACTAAAATGGACTCCAAGAGAGAGAGAAAATCCAAACAGAATACTCACTGTAGTAGAACCAGAGAAAATTGTCAAGATCAAATATTTTTACAAGGGAATTCTACAGACTTTTTTAAAGCAGATAATGTCAAGGCTATGTATTGTCTCGTAGCATAAAAGTTAAGGGAAGCTTCCAAATTTGTTTTATAAAGTAAATATAATCTTCATATCAAAACACACAAAATTTTCTCCACAAAAACTACAAAACAACTTCACCTTCCAATATTTATGCAAAAATACTAAATAAAATTTAACAAAGAACTCCAGAACACAGGTTTATTCAATAAAAGTAAAAAGTGGCTTAGTATTAGAAAATATATCGATGCTATTTACCATATTAACAACACAAAGGAGGAAAATCATATAATAATTTTCATAAACAATTTTTTAATGAGAAAATTTTAACATCTATTCCTATTTTTTAAATCTTAATAAAATAACAACAAATGAATAATTCCTTGATGTGATAAAATACATCTATCTCAACCTAATAGCCAGCATCATAAGTTAGGGGGAAACACTATTATTTATATTAAATTCAGGAAAAAATCAAAGATGTTCACTTCCACCCTATTAATTAATATCGTCCGTAGATACTATCCCATGCAAATATAAGAGAGAAACAAAAGTAATTTTTAATTGGAAGGATCATTATATGCAGATGATATAATGGTATAAATAAAACACTTAAAAGAAACAACTGGAAAGGTATTACAAATAATAGGAGCACGAAATATGGAAGGGGAGGGAGTCCTTATAAGTAAGAAAAGATAAAGTACTGACAATAAAGTTAACACAAAATAAGCAAGACCTGTATGAAGACCACCTTAAAATGCCTCAGGTACAAAGCAGAAATCTGATTGAGTACAAAGGCTATCAGGTCACTGAGAGGAAAGAGTCAATGTCATTAGATGTAACAGTTCCATAAATCAATATTTAGTGTGATTTTGACACAAATGCCAAAAACTTTCTACGCAAACTGACTATAAACTTTATTTTCAAAACTAAAGCAACGATAGCAGAAACATTCTGAAAACTAAGGAGGAAAGAGAGGATTAACCCCCTGGGAAGACGGGCTTGTCATGAAGCTAAAGTGTTAGGAGGCGAATAGTAATGCTGACCCCACGGGAGGGCGCAGAACAGTAATTAAGATAATGTATTCATAGAAAAAGTGCCTGAGAGATGACCGCATTCATTATTAAAAGGAGCCTCGTTGGGGATAGCATCTAACTTTGGATCACGATCTCTAGAACTTAATCTGATAAATTCAGCAAATAACACTCAGCCCACCATCTCTTCCCATCCGCAGAGAACTGGGTTAAATTCTTTTGGAAATCGAAGCACTGTCTCTCTTTCTGTTCAAGAAAATGCAGAGACTCTTAAACGGTCTTGTTTCCCGAACTTCTACGAGCAAATTAAGGCAAAAGAGCCCAACGCGGAGAAAACCTGGAAACATTCAATGCAGGAAAGAGATGCTACAGATCACTTGAGTCTGTTCATCAGAGGTCCCGGACTCCAGGCTGAGTCACTGCTCCGGCACCTGGAGTGGAAAGGGGCCACCCTCCTGAGAGGAAA